GCTATAAATTTAATTTCAAACTATTCATATCGAATTGTATACTAGCAAATAATGTACCATTAAAATGTGAATTCTATTGTTAACACTACGTACATTTGGGATGCATTTAACGTAAACATTATTATTTGCTGAAAACTGGGACTGATTGAAATGACAATGACCAAATTTGTATGGAGCGTGGTGCCTTTTCATTTTTTCGCGGCAGTTGATCGGATATGGATAAACTAATACAGAATAACATTACAAACAAAAAAACGTATGGGGTCTTATATCAAAAACACAGTCCGAACCGAGTTAAATCAGTTCAAAGATGTGAAAATAGTGCTATTATAATTCCTGTGATTTTGTTGATGGTGACCGTACACAACACATATTTCTTCATTTACTTGTCAGAAATATTTTGTAATAAATGTTTATAGACGATATCTAGGAATATAATAAAGCTTATTGTAAATTTTTTTACTTTTTTTTTTGTTTTTTATATTTGTTTTTATTTATTGCATTTATTTTTTTTGTTATAAGGCCACGGAATCAGAACAGAGTCAACCATTAACTGACCACTGCTGATGAAAAAAAAACATTTCGTTTTATTGGCTAGCGTATTCAATTTATATGTATACGGTTTATGGCCTATGACAGATTTTCATGATCAATTTCCTCTCAGTCAAAAACCCGCAAAATACTTTACTGAGCCCTATCATGAAATGCTATGTTTGTCAGCTGCGGCGTCGGTAGCGGATTGAGTAGTAACAGTCGTCAAAACATGAAAAAATCATTTTTCTGTCTACTTATCCCGACTTACCTACTTCCGATTAGTGACTAATCTAACTACAGTTAATACTTTAATCTACATCTAGCATAAGATTCTGTACAATGACATCGTCATTCAGTCACAAAGTGACGCATTTCGAATGATCACATTGTATAAAAAAATTATACGCTCATCTGACGTATATTCCATCACTTTACAAAGTCGACGGTTTGCTTTCTTCAAAAGATTATGCTAACTATAAAGTAAATGAGTCTCCCACCAAAAAAATACAAAAAATACTTTATTAGATGTTTGGACGGCTACAATTACTCAACCCACCACTGGTACCACAGCTGACACTCATGAACCTTCATGACACAACTCCTAGAAGCATCCCACAAGTTATCGACTGAGAGCAAATAGGTAATAAAAATTAGCGACTGGCAATATGGATATATTCTGGTGTGATTTGGTGTTTCTGTGCCCGGCGTACAGTGGCGCCCAATTTGAAGTTAGAAATTGTGACAAAAATATGAATAATTTGAATAAAAAAACGAAAGTAAAATGTTTGATTCCAGCTTCTTTTAACGCTCATAACTCAGTCCAGACTGAGATTTCCATATATGAGCCCATAGACAATTTCGTTTGTAATGACATTCTAGATAATATTTTCCATAAATCATCGACTGCCGCCAGAAAAAAGAAAGGCACCAATTTTAGTCAATGCCCTTTCAATTTATTAAAACGGATGCTTGACGTGGCTGAAACTTCGAAGTGATTTTCTCATTTAATGTAATTTCCTCACGTTCTGATTTTATATACATTACGTAATGGACTGACTTGTGCGGTTTTTGGACGAAAAAATCTTAAAATTGATGAATGCCTTTATAGAGGTATTCATAATTCCTAGAAGGTATTTGTAGGATTTACGAATATTTCTTCCTAGAAGGTAAGGCAGAAATGCAGGTATTTATCGTTACCTATATGAATGTATGGTGTGAATTGAGTGCATTGCCCTATATCGGACAACAGTTTTGGATCCGTGCTATAACTAAGTATTTGAAACTTCAGGCAATTTTGAATGGTATACGATATTTCTTAGTCACAGTTCCCCAGGTTGCTTTTTGATCAAAACAGGATTTAATACAAACAAAAAATTACATGTTTAGCTACTTTTCAATTAACATGAAAATCAAATTTATTTTCTTGTTTAAATATAAATTCCGTTGGTCTTTCTTTGAAGGCATTTAAAGGCCCATTTGTGTGTATATTTATTTATTTACATCGAATTTACGCTGTAAACCGTATGTTTACCAATAGCAATCGTTATGTAAGTAATAAGTAGTTATTTACAGCAGTAGGTTTATACATATTGGTTCACAATTTAAAAGGAAATTAATAATAGTGGTTTTTGTAAAGAAAAATTATTTTCGTAGAGAGGAAAGTCAGCTACAAATTTTAGGTCGGTCATAGCATTATTGTACCTAGGTAAATTCAGTTTTTTTTTAATTGTCTGAATTAACTTCTCACACGCCTCTCGTATACACGGGTAAATATTTTATTAGAAAAGCGAATTAACTATTCTGTTCAATCAAATAAAGAACGGGTTGCAAACTTGAAAATATACGTCACAGAACACCCGTGTGTACGAGAAACACGCGAGAGATTAAGTTATATAAATAAATAAATAAAATAAATAAAATTTTTATTCATAAGAACATTGGTCAACATAGGTACAAAAATATCTTAATTAAGCGACAAGATCTTAAACATAATATGCCTATACTAGGAATATTCCTGTGTCACAGGCGACACGAGCTCTAGAAATATGTTACTGATAAGACAACTTATTTATAGTATATGTAAAATATTTAATACAATTTTCAGAAGTAAGGTAGGATTGTTTAATATACTACATTACATACATACATACATACATACATATAATAACATCACGCTTTTTATTCCCTGAAGGAGAATAAAAAGTTGAACTTACATAATACAATAATATAAAATTAAATAAAATATCGTATAAGCTATATTCATATATAAACTAGATAATATTACATGTTACAAGGCTATCAATTATTTTAGATCGTCTGCAGAAACACAAAAAACTAGGTCAGAGTCCATACGGTCACTCACTTGTTACAGTTAGATCAAATGTGCTTGGACAGCAATAAATTGCTGAGTAAGCCAACCTGTTAATGTGCAATTGTTATACAAGTGAACCAAACTAAACGAAATGAATAATCGAATTGGAATTCCGACTTCGAGCATTTTCTCTTTATGCGCCTTCATAATCGATGGAATTTATATATCTGTGTTCGGCTATCTTCCTGGCTGGGCACTCTGCGTCTCCTGTCTTGTGACTGTTGGGCTTGTTAAAGCGAGAGCATGTGGTACATTTTGGAAAGTCGATTGTCTTCGTGCACACGGATGTCATGTGTCCTGTTTCTCCACAATGGCCACACACTGAGTAGAGCTCCCGGCATGTCTTTGCCGCGTGGCCATACTGCTGACATTTATAGCAACGCGTTACTAACGTGAAGTCTCTGACAGGGCAAGACGTCCAGTTTATATAGAGTCTCTCTTGCGATATAAGCGCTTTACGGATGTTGGCTGGAACTTCATGATGTAATTACAAGTCGGCGCGTCTTTTCTGCCAGATTTGTGACTTAACTTCACACTTGTTAGGAAAGACTCTATAGTCAACTCTTGGAACTTACCAGCTATGTTTTGTTCAAATATGCACCTGAGGACATCAGCATCGGATAAAACAGACGGCACTCCTAGAACTGTGATTCTTGGTTTTCGTTTTTTTGCTTCATCGGCAATAAGTCCAGACGATGATAGGGCTAGTGCGTCTTTAACTTTCTTAGCATCTTCTTTAGACTCAGTGCTGATTATAACGCCTCCGTTATGGATTTTACGCACACCACGCACATGTAGCTGCAATTGGTCAGGGCGTATGATTTTTTGCACGAGAGATTTTGTTTCATCGCTAGATTTTGACTTATTTGCTGGGTATATTGCAATAGAAGTCAGATTTGTAGGTCGCACGAAGTCAGTTCCCTTCTTTACCATGTCAGCAAATGAAACATTTCCAGTTGATGCTGAATCCTTGATAGTCTGCTTGATGTCCGAAATTTGTTCCACAAGGTCCTGCTTTTCTCTCATCTCATCTATAATGTTGACGGCTATGCGGGCTTGCTGCTTAAGAGCTTGGTATAAGACAGCCATTTGCGAGACATCAGCACCAATTTTTCGGCTCAGGTTGGATATTTTAAGTTTTTGGTCCGAATTAAGTTTGCCCTCTGTGGAAATAGTGCAAACTTCATGTAATAGGTCTTCAATGTTTGACATCCAATTTTGAATATCGGGCGTCGACACAGCTTGTATCGAGAAGTCAGAATTACGGCTGCTCTTTAATGGTGAAGTACAGGAAGCCAGCTTGCTCGGGTTTAAATCCATCTTCGAAACAACTAAGTTTGTATTTCCATTATTTATAACTAAGTATCACAATAAGCAGAATAATAATGTAGGTCACTATTATTGCTTTGATTCAATATTTCTAGTATGCACGTCTGTTCACATCAAACGTCAAGAATCCAAGTTAGATAAAGACATTAAGTAACTTTATTACAAACTGATTTACGCTACTACAATTCAGTCACACGAAAATTCTATATTTTACATTTAAAAATCTGAATCTGAATAAAAAGCATATGCGAATTGGATGACACTGTTGGTGCGATGGCTGGGCAATCGGCTGCCGCGCAACGTATCGCGGGTTCGATTCCCGCACGGAGCTATTCTTTGTGTTATCCACAAATTTTTGTTCCGGGCTGGGTGTCATGTGTATGTGTACTTGTATGTTTGTAAACGCACGCACGACACAGGAGAAAATCATAGGGTGTATTATATTATATGTACGGTCAAAGGTCAAAAATCCACTGCCATCGTAAGACTACTATCGGTTGCGCTACAGCGCTTATACACACATGCACATGTATATTTTTATCCGTGTGCGTACGCGTGCGTGTGTTTATGCGTACGCACGCGTTTTTATGCACATTAATATGAAATTACTTACGCATTGTCGTGTGAACATCACTCACGGTGGCAGTGGACATTTGACCATTGATTGTACATTTAAAAAAAATTAAAAGAGACCCTTCTAACATTTAACCATTTTATGTATTTTCTATCAAATATTTTTCTTACTCAAGCTTCACATATTTACTAGACATCAATGCAGCACGACATGGAGACGCGTCGAGCTCACACCACCATAGCCATGTACAAGGGCAACGTGGTGGCCATCAAACGCCTGCAGAAGAAGAGCATCGACGTCACCAGAGCTATCAAGAAGGAGTTGAAACAGGTGAGCAGTGTATTATAGCTATTGTGGGACGCCCAAATACTGAGAGGCAATTTTTATTGTGATATATTTGTTTAATTCTATTTAAATAAATATCATAATTTATATAACTACATAAATATTTACAACTTAAAATTAACTACAACTAGACTATTAATACTTTGACGCCTAAATTAAGGGTATAATTTTTGTTGTTTTCTTTTGCTTTCTTTTTATTTAATAGTCTAGCACAACTAATTAATTTTACAATGAATGTATAGTGACGGAACTATTTCCGTCACTATGCATTCATTGTAAAATGACAGAAATGGGACGATATTTAAGTACAACTTGTAATAGGGTAGATGACTAATTTTTATTTTATTTATTTATTTATTTATGTACACACATACAACATAAAGGACAACACATACATAAAATTAAAGTACAAAGGTACCACCTATTCTTATTGGAATTTCTTCCTGTGGATCTGGAGCAGGAAAAGTAATAATAATATATAGTGACACAGTGTGTAGTAACAAATATATATTTTTTAATGTCCGTCTGATAGATTATTTTAAAACATAAGACATGTATTTTTATTTTTTTACAGAAACGAATACTTTCGACGATATATTGATTTGGAATGTGGCGTGACGTCACTTCTATGTACATTTTATATGTAGAAATGACGTTTTAGCCCCTACTCCTAAACTTTGATTCGTTATATCTAAGTCTAAGTATCATTTTATTATACGTCAAAATAAAAAAAATACGTGTCTAATATTTTTTCATTAGGTACCTAACTGATGTCTGTCTAATTAGATTTTTAATTTTCATACCCTGTCATCATCCCTACTTTCAGCATTCGGGTGTTATTCAATTTGCGCTTTACTTACATAATTGCTTGACGACGTACCTTGCCTTGCAGCAACTACCTATATCGATTTTCGCACAATATTGCTTATAATTATGAGCCCCTTACTGCCTCGTTGGCCGAGTGGTCGTAAGTGCGACTGCCGGGCAAGGGGTTTCAGTAGTAGCACGGAGTCTGGATATGTGCCCGGTATATGGTAATAGGCTCAGCCACTTTTACATGGGACTCATAACATAAATAGTGAAAAGTGGGTGTTACATTGTACAGTGGCATTAAGTGCCGTAACACGCACCTCTGCTTACCCCTTATGATAAAAGGGCGTGATGTTATGTATATAATTATGAGCGCTGAGCGGAGTTTGAAACTGGTCGAGTCATTTCTTAGATCAATTAGGTAGTGCAGACGGAGACAGTTCAATACTGGATTATGAGGACTATAAGCCATGTTACATTCTGGTTTCGTTTTTTATAATCTATGGTTGGCGCTTCAAAACGTTTACGTTTATTAACTAAAATCGCGGGGTTCTTCACTGACACAGACGTCGCCGCAACCGCCCACGCTGCTCATGAGGAAGAACCTTTGTCGCGGAGAACCTAACGGGTAACCGGGACTCCGGCTCGACGTGCAGGAGAAGGAACAGGGTGGTTTTTAGTCAGTAAGAGTCTGACACTCCCTCCCGCCTCACCCAGGCGGGAGCAGTCATTCGATGATTTTCCCCTCTTAAAAAAAACCCCTCTGTGGTTCGAAACTAGTAGGGCTTTTTTCAGTATATTCACGTAAGTAACCCGCGATTTTAGTTAATTTAGTATGTCTCACGATAGTTATTGTAAAAAGTTTAGTAAACTTATTATAAAAATGATGAAGCGTAACTGTCCACGTTGCGTAAGGTGACGAATGCATGCATCCTTGACAAACAATAGACGGCCTACAAATGACAGATGCTTGCATCTAGCTTAGAAACAATGATAACTTATTACGTAATTGTTAAAACAGCCTGTCGCTGTTGACGAAGGCATGCATTCGGCAAATGACGCAACGTGGACAGTAATCCTTATAGAAACAAATGTATTTTAATTTGCCGTTTCCACACGGCTGCCTCGTTGGCCGAGTGGTCGCAATTGCGACTGCCGGGCAAGGGGTCTCGAGTTCGATTCCCGGGTCGGGCAAAGTATTACTGGGTTTGTAAAAAAACCTCAGTAGTAGCACGGAGTCTGGAAATGTGCCCGGTATATGGCAATAGGCTCACCCCTATTACATGGGACTCATAACATAAATAGTGAAAAGTGGTTACATTGAATTGGCATAATGTGCACCTCTGCCTACCCCTTCGGGGATAAAAGGCGTGATGTTATATTTCCACACGGCTGCATGCTTTGTCCTTGATAAGCTAAACAAGTACTTAAGTAAGTAATACATGAGTTTATATTTCTATGTACTGTTATTATTAGAATCTGGGTCAAGGATAGACTTATCCCATTTGACACATAAAGGTATCTAGGCCCATATATATGTACGTAGAAATGTACATGTATTTGCGTTCAAACGGCGTTTCAATAGCGAGATATTGGGTGACCTGTGAGAGTCCAAAAAGCCTTTTGCGCAATGGATATTCGACGTTTAAAGATTTTTGCATTCATTTTTAAAATAGTTCGTCACAGATTTGATATTGATTCCGAGGTACGAATTTATTGTTCAATGTTATATTTTAATGGCCTTTGATTAAAACGCATATTTTTAGGTACCTAGGTATAAAAATAGTTCTGGATTTGATAACTGCTAGATATTAAAATAGTAATAATAATAAATAGCAATAAGTATTGGGATCGAACTATCATCACAGACAGGACAATTCTTGCAAACAGACCTGACATTGTGGTGATAGATCGACCAAGCCGTCGCACAATGACAGTTGATATAACAATCCCAAATGACGAGAATCTTGTGAAAGATAACGCAACTAAATATCTTGATTTAGCTAATGAGATTGTCGACATGCCAATGGCATCATTGCTAAAAGCCTCGACCAACATCTGAGCAGGCTAGCGTTAAATGGATGGGTCAAGGGCCTGATGCAGAAAGTAGTACTTCTAGACACGGCGCGTATTGTCCGGAAATTCCTTTCTGTGGAGCCCTGACCGCTGGTAGCTTGGATTTCTCCCGTTACTGGTGGGCTACTGCTCTTTATGTTTTTAAATGTTTTTTTTATATAATCAAATGCTTAAAAATATATAAGTCAAGTATATAAATAAATAAAGGAAATAAATAGTATCTGTAAATAGAAAATATGGAACCTATTTTCGTATTACTGTCTTAAGATAGTAAGCAATAACAAAATATCGTTTAATCCTATCTGTAATATAATCAGTACGTTCTTTACAACCGGCAGACTATTACATTTTATGGTGGCACTAAACTTTATGGGATATAGCCTAAATACTATAAGACCTTGAATGTATTTATATCCCATGCCTCTTACGTACTTATCTGTTTATTTCATTCAAGTATTTGATTAGATAAGACTAGGTAGGATAAAATAGGATAGGATGTCGTGGTGGTCCGGAACTTTAGGCGCTCTTTTCTCATGCATGAGGATGTGGGTTTGAAACCATTGCATACCAACGGCACTTTTTTGACAAACGGTGAAGGAAAACATCATGAGGAAACCTGGGCTTATAATTTCTAATTATAAGTTTGTAATCACTAACCCGCATTGAGCAAGCGTGGTCATGAATGCTCAAACCTCCTCCGTGTGAGAAGAGGCTTTGCTCAGCAGTGGGCATTTATAGGCTGTTGATGATGATGATGATGATGATGAGGTAAGGATAGGAGTACAATAAATACTTTTTTGTAATCCGAAACTCTTTCATGTGTGGGAGAACCATACTTCAACACGAATGGGCTTGCTCGACCAGAATAATACTACGGCCTCATAGAAAATCGAAGTGAAATAACTTGGCTTGTGTTGTGTGTCGTCGTGTGAGTGAGGTTACCGGAGGCCCAATTAACCCCTTCCCCAGTCTACCCAATTCTTGAATCTACCACAATCTTCAAATTCCAAATACCCAAAAGACCGGTAACGCACTTGTAACTTCTCTGGTGTTTCAAGCCGATCGCTTACCATCAGGTGATCCGTCTGCTCGTTTACCGGCTTATTCCATAAAAAAACACTTCACACTCCGACAGAAAGAAATAACTCGGTAATCTACAACTCACCCACCAGCTCGTCACATTACAATAAACATCTTCCTATAAATCTTTTCACCCACGAACCCACACCATAATGTAAGGAATTGACCCTGAAACCTTTCAATAAGATTTACGTTATACAAGTTATTTTTAGCCATTGACCTGGCTACCAAAATTTCCTGTTTATACCATCTGATCCTTTAGGTCAGAAGCTATTGATAACTGTGTAATTTTGTAGGTAACTTGTGTATAATCTAGTCTAATCTATGTCTAGATAAAATTAGATTCAGGTGGCACAATGTGACATGATTATGTTTTTCTAGGTTCCTGCACCGGGTTCCCGGGATAGAAATTACACACATAATATCACGCCTTTTATCCCCGAAGGGGTAGGCACAAGTGCACATTACGACACTTAATCCCACTGGACAACGTAACACCAACTTTTCACTATTTATGTTACGAGTCCCATGTAATAGGGGGTGAGCACATTGCCATGTACCGCGCACATTTCCAGACTCCGTGCTACTACTGGGAATTTTTCAAAGAACCCAGTGTACTACTTTGCATGACCCGGAAATCGAACCTGAGACCCCTTGCCCGACAGATTAAGATTAATCTAAGCGAAAAAGCTGTCTTTCAAATGTAGGAACTTTTATATAGAGGAGGCTAACACTCCATCAGGGGTCTGTTGATGATCACGATGAAGTGTTCAAGGAATCCTTTTCCCTTCCTAAACCCACTACATTCTAAAAGTTGAACATTTTTAATCCCATCCTCGTCGCCAATTGTTGTATAAAATGTTTACATGCAGGAACAACTAAAACTGCAGACCGAAACGAGCACAATGTTTTATTCCTTTTAAAAAATAGCATAGACAATATACAAGCATAGACCATTATCATCAAAAGTGGCCATGAATCTATTTGCACAGATAACAAATACACAACATATTTAAAATACCAACAAACTTAAACATCTATTCAACATCATATCTTGATTTAGAAATGGTCGATAGCTCTCACAAGCAGAATACAAATAAAGCGATCCAATTATAGAATTTAATCAATTGAAACTAGTAGACGACCACAGACATTTAACTAAGCACTTATGTAAAAGTCAAGGCTGAACCTTAAGTACAGTAGCCAACAGATAATCCTACTCAAATCTATCAATCTTACTCATTGGATTTTTGACTTTAAATCAACATTATAAAGTTGAAAGTGTAATGAAGAAATTTGACAAAAAATATAAGGTTGACCTACTGGCGACTGTACTTTAGGACTTAGGTTATAAGTTTATCTAATAAGAACTAGTCTAGATTTGTATAAAACTAATTTATGTTTCTTTCAAACTTTTGTAATCAAAAAACTTTAGAATATTCGTTACTGAAGAGAAACTAATTGAAATAAGGGACAAAATCATGAAAAATGTTATGAAACTAAGTTCATTAAGTCCTTTAAACTCTTATTAGTAAATCTATGGAAAAACTCTCGTTACCTACTAAATATCTTTCGACTGATGATGTTTTAACGTAGTATGAATTTAATATTGATCAAATCCACAAGCAAAATCACTACATAGTATAAAACAAAGACGCTATCCGCCCTCTGTCTGTACCTATGTATGCTTCTATGTTTAAAACTACGCAACGGATTTTGATGCGGTTTTTTTTAATAAATAGAGTGATTCTTAATTAAGGTTTATCACTACATAGTATAATACAAAGACGCTATCCGCCCTCTGTCTGTACCTATGTATGCTTCTATGTTTAAAACTACGCAACGGATTTTGATGCAGTTTTTTTTTTATTAGATAGAGTGATTAAGGAAGGTTTATAATGTATAATACATACATATTGCACCCGTGCAAAGCCGGGGCGGGCCACTAGTTTAAAATAAAGTAGTCTATTAATATTTTCGGATCTATTTCGTTACAGGAGCCAATACAGTTTTTCATATCCCTGGGACGCACTGGACTTTAGTGTTTCGATGTTTTCATGGTTGTATCTACTGTAGATCCTGGCTTACAGGAGTTGCAGCGATTTTGGGAGATTGTGGCAGGCCAAAACAAATTGCGAAATTAATAACTGGTCTAATTCTAAAATCTTTGAATCAATCTGTTCTTGTCACGAACTGCATACAATGTCAAAAATCGATCTTACTTAGTCCATATATTTCGGATAAAGATCAACTAGGCTATTCTATAACTTTCATTTCGAAAGATCTAAGCGACTTCGAGCGCGGTCTACCATTGGTCGTGAGAATAATTTCGACCAATAACGGGCGAGAATGCGATCGAGCTCACTTCGAGATCGAATTGAGAGGTTCAGAATAGCATAGCAGTTTTTAATTTCACCCGTACGTGTTAACGAGTAACTAATTTAGTATAGGCATGTTGTCAGCGTCCCTCTTCTAATTCTTCTTTTTTAATTTTTCACCTTAATGTTTTTATTACTGCCACTGTTACACCTTTATTGTCTTTTTTATATTTTATTTATGCTGCATCGTGCCTGGTGCTGAATAAACGTGTTTTCTTTATTTCTAATTCCTGTTTGTAGGTAAATAATGTTAACAAGACATTTCTTCTTCAACCAGATCCGTGAGCTTCGCCATGAGAACCTAACGGCTTTCGTTGGTGTCTGCGTGGAGAGCGGATCAGCTTGTATCGTGTCAGCCTACTGCTCCAGAGGTTCCCTGGCCAGGGTCCTTGCTGACAGAGACCTTCATCTAGACGATATGTTCGTCGCTAGCCTGGTAGCTGATCTTCTTCGAGGACTGATGTACCTTCACGATTCAGCATTGATATCACATGGGAATTTAACGTCCAGTAACTGTCTGGTAGACAGCCGTTGGGTCCTGCAAATAGCTGATTATGGACTGCATAATTTAAAATGTGAGTATTATATTACAGTATTTGTACTGTAACTTTCGTGAGACATACTAAATAAATTATTATGTTTTCGGCTTACTCACGTAGTAAATTGACAAGGAACTCGACTAGTTTCAAGGCTCATATTCATGAGCAGCATTTCGCGACCCGCGACGCGGCGACTGTCGCGCTGCTACGGTAGCAGCTTACTTACTTACTTATGGCTTGAAACTAGTCGAGTTCCTCGTCAAATTACTTCGTGAGTAAGCCGAAAACATAATAATTTATTATATTACAGTGGAAAAATATAATATATATTACAATGCATAATTTGAGTGGTATCACGCACCGGACTTCAATGTTCCGATGTTTTCATAGTTGTATCTACTGTACTATTATATCCGGGCTTTCAAAAGTTGCAGCGATTTTGGTATTAGTCTAGGTACATCGTAGACATGTGGACATATTTACATTTCAGGACCAATTGCATTGACTTTATGATTTCATATAATTTCTTCACAAAAGATTATCTTCAATCTTTTCTAAATAGACAGATGAATAAATGCCAATGTACAACATTGTCAAGGTTTTTTATCCTTTCTAAAGTCGGTACCCAGAATATAGTGTTACGAAGAATTTTATTGACTCACCATTCAGTCGAGCATAAAACATTTTTTCCAAATAAAACCATTGTATACCTATTACGATTCATCCACGTTTAAATCCGGGTAGCGTAAAACCTCGATCATTGGCCGCGAATAAATATCTAGGTATTTGGGTCAAAGTAAAACTTTTACGCACTGATTTTTATGTAAAAATGAAGTAATCGGTTTATTTTGTCGAATTTCATAAGTGCGAAAGTGACGCTTATGGGCCCAGAATCTTTTCGACCTGTCAACATTTTGACTGCACGGTTGGCGCGGTGTGTGGGTAACCGGCTGCCGCGCAATGTGTAGCGGGTTCGATTCCCGCACGGAGCAGCGCTTTGTGTGATCTACAAATTGTTGTTTCGGGTCTGGCTATCATGTGTATGTGAACTTATATGTTTGTAAAGGTACCGTACCTACGTAATGTAGGGCAACGTTTTTTTACAAAAAAGAAAACATTGTTTTTATTACTGTTTATTTATTAACCCTTAGAGCGCCACGTCAGTCACCGGTGCCTGACGCTAGTGGAGGTTTGACTTTCACCATTTTAAACTTGGCAGTTAAAGTATTAATTAGTTTCGTTTTAAAACATGAATAAGTACCTAATTACCCTGTGTGATAAAAGAAACTACACTAGCGAACAAACCAACGGAGCTACTAGCATATTTTCTTCTCTGTTTCTTGATAAATATTTTCTTACAGAAGTACTAAATTAATTGGTAACGTATGACGTATAAAAGGCAATTTAGTTACCTTTAAAATGAGAGCATTTTGTTGTATAAGTGAAATATTTTTTTAATTTTATAGAGGGCTTGATAGATTACATAAACATAACATCACGCCTTTTATCCCCGAAGGGGTAGGCAAAGGTGCACATAGAAGTAACACCCACTTTTCACTATTTATGTTATGAGTCCCATGTAATAGGGGGTGAGCCTATTGCCATATACCGGGCACATTTCCAGACTCCGTGCTACTACTGAGATTTTTAAAAAACCCAGTAATACTTTGCCCGACCCGGGAATCGAACCCGAGACCCCTTGCCCGGCAGTCGCACTTGCGACCACTCGGCCAACGAGGCAGTCGACTTGATAGATTACTTAGTCAAAAATTAATGTCAATGGGATGGACGTCGCTTTTCCTGCGTTTTCAGTCGTTTTACTAGCTATTTCTTCTACCTATATTTCTATGTACCTGGATGCAGTAAGTGAGAGATGGATATCATTATCATTTTTAGGGAAGCCTATCCCCCCCGAAAAATGATGACGCAATAGGCTAGTTTCCTAAATTTTATTTTAATGTCTGTCTGGTAGATTATTTTAAAACATTAGACACGTAATTATTTTTCTTACAAAATTAAATGCTTTCGTCGATATAATGATTTGAAATGTCGTGTGACGTCACAGCGTGCTACAAAATGTAGCACGTTGTGACGTAACTACCTCCCTCTCCTAAACTTAACTCCATTTTATCTAAGTATTGCAATTTAATAGGAGAAAATAAAAAATAAGTGTCTAATATTTTTTCATTATCTAACTGACGGATTAATTAAATTTTTAATTTTTTTACCTTGGAAAATATCCAATTAAACAATTTTCTATATGGTCTGTAGCACATTTGAAATACTTTATGTTACAAGTATTGCAACTTATGCATATGTATTTTATATTTCATCATCCATCTCACTTCTCTATATCTTCTCTGTTAGATGGCTGCTCCGACGCAGAAGACGCCTTGCGTATGGAGCGTCGCATGCTATGGAGGGCGCCAGAACTCTTGAGGGATCCCAATCCAAACCCCAGAGGGTCACAGAAGGGAGACGTATACTCTTTTGGGATCATATTGTATGAGATCCTTGGAAGAAATGGACCTTGGGGAGACACAAATCTCACAAATGCTGGTAAGAATATTTTTATAAGTACAGCTCAACAGCTTGTTATTCATTAAGTATTTTTTAAACTATACAAAGGTTTATTGCTTAATCTATGTTTATAGAATAAAGGCATTATCAATTAATTTAAAAATAACATAACATAACATCACGCCTATTATCCCCGAAGGGGTAGGCAGAGGTGCATTATGCTACTGTACAATGTAACACCCACTTTTCACTATTTATGGTATGAGTCCCATGTAATAGGGGGTGGGCCTATTGCCATATACCGGGCACAATTCCAGTATCCATGCTATTACTGAGAATTAAAGAGACCCAGTAAAAATTTGCCCGACCCGAGCCCCTTGCCCGGCAGTTGTAATTGCGACTACTCGGCCTACGAGGCAGTCACTGTACTTACTGTAATTTGTATTTAATGAAACAAAATTTGAACTTCTTTAAAGATTGTTATTCCATTGGCATGTCAATACGTCATAGCTAATGCATACAAATATTTATAGATATCTCGTTACAATTCCATCTTATTAAGGTAATTGAAGATTAAATAATAATTTGTCCTTTGGTTGCTTACGAGGAAAATGCGTTGATTATTTAGAGTTTCCATAAAAAGTATATACATATATGTAAGAAAATTTTGACGAGCAAGTATGGCGTCAAAGGTGTCGCTAAGGAAAACAGTTCAGACATTCTTCATGCCTTCATTTTTATGCCCTCTTCATTAATTTATAGAGCCGAGCGACACCAGACTCGGTAAAAATCTTACTTGTTAATTTTTTTTATCTTATTTACCGTAAGTACAGGATTATTCATTTAAAATAGCAACCAAAATCCATTGGTTAGGCGAAGAAATAGTAAGATTTTATTTAGATTCCTATATGCTAAACTATTTTTTTTAAGGGGGGAAAATTATCGAATGGCATCTCCCACCTGGGTGAGGCGGGAGGGAGTGTCAGACTCTTACTGACTAAAAACCACCCCGTTCCTTCTCCTGCATGTCGAGCCGGAGCCCCGGTAACCCGTTAGGTTCTCCGCGACTCCGAATCCGCATCGGCCCTATTGGGCCCCATCTGTGGTGGTCTGATGGCTTTTTGAGGCGCGCGCAGAACGCTCGGCGCCGTACGCTCGGGTCTGTTTCTGGTCGGACGGGGAGCCACCCATGCTTGCCGTCCGCAGGCCCGCGATACCTATGGACTAAAACAATATTTTTCTTTTTAAACAGAAATCATAGGTCGAGTCCGGCATCCAATAGGCGGCGTGTTATTCAGGCCACCACTGGGCGGGCTAGTGGCACGACCAGCTGTACTGGCGGTGCTAAACGCGTGCTGGAGCGAGCGACCTGAACGTAGACCCGATCTCCGGCTGGTTCGCGTTAGGTTGAAGGATATGCATGCGGGCATGTAAGTACTAGAATAATTACATATTTACATTTAGATAATCTAGAATGGTACACATTATGGATAACTAGCTACTTCCGCGCGGTTTCACACACTCTGCTCAGCTCCTATTGGTCGTAGCGTGATGTTTTATAGCCTGTAGCCATCCTCGATAAATACGCTATCAAACACAAAAATAATTATTCAAATCAGACTTGTAGTTACGGATATTAGCGCGTTCAAACAAACAAACAAAAAAACAAACTCTTCCGCTTTGTATAATAGTATAAGATGTATCAATAAGATTGTAAAAAATATTTTTTTAAAACAATGAAGTTTTTTCTCGTTCTTCTCCATTAGAACGAGAGCCTAGCTTCACTGATAGACAGACGGACGAACAATTCAATTTTGGCGTTCCAAATTCCAATAGTGCCTAATTAAAGATTTATTGAAATAAATGCTTTGACTTTGGAAGGAACAAGGTTGTTAATAAAATCGGAGATCTGTTAACCTCTTAACTCTTTGAGTAACGTCATTATAGACACAATTAAAGAACAATAGCTTGCGGTCACCGGTGACTGCTCGGTGTTTGACAGTTCAAGTGTCGGTATATGAGACATAATAGAAAATACATTGTGTCCTGCGTGGATTCGCGCTCCGGCATACTACGGGTTAAGCTATTTTAGAGATAGTTTTTTTTAAGGGGGGAAAATCATTGAATAACTGCTCCCGCCTGGGTGAGGCAGGAGGGAGTGTCAGACTCTTACTGACTAAAAACGGTGGTTTTTAGTCAGTAAGAGTCTGCGGTAAGAGTAAGAGTCGGAACGGGGTGCCGTTCCTTCTCCTCCACGTCGAGCCAGAGCCCCGGTTACACGTTAGGTTCTCCGTGAAAAATTTGCGTATATGCGTGTGCATTCTTAGCATTTGATATTAAGTAAACCGTTTAGGTAGAAGTTAATTTTAATATTGTTGTTTCTCAAAGGCTTCTAACTTCATCGGATTCTTGGCGGGCTGTCAAAAATAGTTCTCTTTTTTTTAATTATTTTGTTAGCACGTAATTGTTATGTAATAGGTATTAAAATTACAAAATGAAATGGTATTCCATTTAGTCTCGTGATTTGTACTTGAATACTTAATAATGAAGTTATTTGTTTACATTATTATCCAGCGCGATATGCCCATGATCTTTCTACACCAAGCTAAGCTGACATATGAATCATGGTATCCAGGAAAACCAACATCTTCGACAACATGCTGGCAATGATGGAGAAGTACGCGTCGAACCTGGAAGCTATCGTCGCAGCCAGGACGGAACAGCTGCTGCAGGAGAAGAGGAGGACTGATGACCTGCTCAACAGGATGTTGCCTAGGTACGTCTTTAGGCACTAGTTTTTGTATAAAATAAAGCGAGAGTTACATAAAATAACATCACGCCATTTATCCCCGAAGGGGTAGGCAGAGCACATTATACCACTGTACAATGTATTACTCACTTTTTACTATTTATGTGACTTTGACTTTGACTTATGAGTCCCATGTAATAGGGGGTGAGCCTAATGCCATATACCAGGCACAATTCCAGACTCCGTGCTACTACTGAGAAATTTTTAAAACCCAGTAATACTTTGCCCGACACGGAAATTGAACACGAGACCCCTGCCTGGCAGTCGCACTTGCGACTACTCGGCCAGCGAGGCAGTCGAGCGAAAGTTACTGTCGAACAAATCAATTTTCTAATTTTAGTTCTAGTTCTATGATGTGATTTCAAGTTTAAGATAAGTACATATTATCTCATTATGTAGCTGTAAGATTTGCAAGGATAGTTGTCTAATCTAGTGTTAGAGAGAGACCTGTGACCTTTGATTCCCGGGTCGGCGAAAGTATTGCTTTTTATTTATACATACTATAATTATGCTTCATAAAGGAATAATACTAGTTCTTAGATAACTTATGTATTATTTATTTCCATATATTTATTTAACATTCTCTATAAATTACACATTTAAATACTACTTACAAAATAAAAATAATATTTAAGAATATAAAAAATAGGAGCCGACCAGTAGCGGGAGCATGGTCCAAGCTTATTTATTTATTTATTATAATTATCCTTTACAAAAAACTTAGTATTCCGATTACTTCGATTAGAATTCATTTTGATATGCATAGGGTCAATGAACTTTATGTTTTGAACGATATTATTATAATGCTGGAACGTAAAGTATTTGGTCAAGAAATTCGAAATTCCATGTTCAAATTTAAACGTCAGAATATTGAACTGTAATTTTGTGCTTTATTTTCCGACTCATTGGGTTAAAAATTTAATGACACGCTTCGAATAATTTTGTAAGTAATATTTTGTATTTCGAACAGAATTATTATCCAACGGTGATGTTGCGATTTTTTGTAAGGTTGGGACTAAGCGATCGTTCCTTTCATATAAGTAGGTACATACGTACTCGATAAACTAATGTGACAGAATCAGATAATTCATAGAAATTACGCTCTTAACACATTGGATGCTCCGTCGGACAATAATGTCCGATGCTAGCGGAGGATTGGCCTTTAACAGTTTTTGTCGGCAGTAAAAGGCTTTTTTAAGGGGGGAAAATCATCGAATGACTACTCCCGCCTGGGTGAAGCGGGAGGGAGTGTCAGTCTCTTACTGACTAAAAACCACCCCGTTCCTTCTCCTGCACGTTGAGCCGGAGCCCCGGTTATCCGACTACCCGTTAGGTTCTCCGCGACTCCGGATTGGCATCGGCCCTGTTGAGCCCCATCTGTAGTGGTCTGATGGCGCGCAGAATAGCATAGAAGCCACATGCTATGAAACGCTTCGATAATTTATGTTGGAATGTAGTAGATTGACCCAAAACATTTTACCTTTCGGCATTCATAATCTGTGGAGCAATCAATAATACGACTGCAGAGAGATTTCCAGTTTTTTTCTTCTTAGTAATCACGGAGACAGATACATATTGTTATCTAGCTGCTTCCGCGCGGTTTCACACGCTCTGCTCAGCTTCTATTGGTCTTAGCGTGATGTTTTATGGCCTATAGCCATCCTCGATGAATGCGCTATACAACACAAAAAGAATTATTCAAATCAGACTTGTAGTTACGGAGATTAGCGCGTTCAAACAAAAAAACAAACTCTTCTGCTTTATACCTCTATAATAGTATAAGATATAGTGTTCAGTATGTGACAGTTCTAGACTTATAACATAATGTATGTTACATTATTATGTGCCTTTCTGCCTACCCCTTCAGGAATTACAAGGCATAAAATTATGGTGACATAGCGAACAAAACTCTAATCCGCTCAACTTACATAATAAAGTAATAGCCTTATCGTAATATTCTCAAACATGTCAATAATTTCGTAGAAACTTGTTACTACTTGGTCTTTGACCGAGTTTGCCCAATAGCGAGATGTATTATAAAAAAATATTGTTATACATATTTTGTACCTTATTTTCATGGTAAACTGAACTCAAATTAACTTGTATTAGACGATTTTTACTCTCACACAGGTGAATATTTATCTTTTCAGGGAATTTTCTGAATATCCCCCGGATCGATCGCTATAACAGACAAATAGAACATTTTTATTTATCTGTTGGTCATTTAGTTGTAATGCCTTTGTGATTTAATGGTAGTAAATTATTTGATAAAAGAATTCTTTTCTCCCACCAGGACTGTAGCAGAAGCCTTGAAGCGAGGCGAAAGGGTACAAGCAGAGAGCTTCGACTGCGTGACAATATATTTCAGTGATATTGTCGGATTCACCAAATTAGCGGCAACTAACACTCCTATGCAGGTAACGACAGTTATAACTTAGTCTAATATAAGAAATATAAACTTGCAAGTTCGAATTTATTTCGAATATCGAATTTCGAAGTGTGGGGCAACGTTTTCTTTAAAAAAATATATTACACATATCGCAGTTATATTTTCTGTCCAAGTAGAATTTAAATTGGTCAACAAGAAAATATAACCGGTAAACGGCTTAAAAAAAAGAAAAAATGTAAAGTTAATCACCAATTACATACTCAAAAACATTTTTAAACAATTATTTTCGGTTTTTCATTTACCTTTATTTCTTATGAAGATTCACAGACATAATGAATTAAATAAGCATTTATTTAACAATGACATTACATTCAATCAAAAATGATATACGCATAAAAAATTGAACAATAATAATGTTACCAAAACGAATAATTAATGAGATAATTTTGTTATTTTTCCGTTGACTACAAAAGTAAAAAAACAATTGACACAAAAGGAAACTCGATTTAGATCTATTTTTAAAAATAAAACAAACTCTATTCTTGTTACGAATCTAATAAAAAAAAAATTGTAATTATTATGAAACATAAGATAATAATAATTATCTATGATTCCTTATTCCGTGACCTTTTTGTGTAAATGAAAATTAAGAAAGAGCTGAGGAAACGTGGTTATTATTGTATGAGGAATGATATAAAAGACAATAGGGTAGATGACTAATTTTTAATTTAATATTCGTCCGTATATTATTTAAAAACATTAGACATGTATTTTTTATTTCCTTACGGAAACGAATAGTTTCGAAGATATATTGATTTGAAATATCGCATGACGTCACTTTTGAGTAAGATGTATTCTCTAAAATGATGTAGCAACATCTCACTCCTAAACTTTGATTCGTTTTATCTAAGTATTGTTTTATTATACGACAAAATTAAAAAATACGTGTCTAACATTTTTTCATTACCTAACTTACGGACTAATTCGATTTTTAATTTTCATGTATACCCTGTCATCATCCCTGTTACCTGTATAGTTATTGCGCCAACTCTAAATACTCTAACAGAGTCTAACACAAGTAAATGTGCTCCTAATGTAAACTAATCAAGTATAAGAGTTCCAGCTCTTATTAATTAGTCATTATTTTCGGCCGTTATTTATTTACAAGTTAATATAATAGCAACCGTAAACAAATAATGGTGGATGGACTAAAAGTCATCGTACATCTATTAAGTACGGCTCCGACATGGCGTCTTTTGTTTTCGAAACAATACAACGCACGGGCGGTGTGCTTACAGCTTTTTTATATGGACGTTATGAAATATGTCCTACGACATACGATTTAAAGTTCATATTTTTAATTGCTGGGTTGGAGCCGTGCCGGACCCTGCTTGATACGTATGATCTTTAGACCTTTTGATATTACTTGTATGTAGTTTAGACTTGAGATTGAGGTTTGGGGTATTGGTATTATAATATCGGTTATTAATATCGGCCGATACTTATCAAAGTATCCAATAATATATTGTGTAAGTCTGTGAAATATCGATAAAGCCGCATACGTATTATTCATCCCATGCCTACACCTACTAGTAAAAATGATCATTATACTCCAAACACAATGGTCTTCGATCACAAATTCTACGAACATAAGTCGTTACTTGTGTTCGTATCGTGTGCACATTACGTTTCGTCAAATTTGTAGATTGATTTTCCTATGAAAAATTCCCAGAAATTACGAACTCAGTCATTCATTATTAATTTGGCTTTCGAGAAATACTTCCTTGATGTTACGATGTGTGATTTTTTATGTCTTGGGAGTATGCTACTTAACAGAACATCAGGCCTTTTATTATCGAGGGGTTAGGCAGAGGTTCACATTATCTACGGCACTTAATGCCACTGTACAATGTAACACTCACTTTTCACTATTTATGTTAGCATCCCATGTAATAGGGAGTGATTCTATTGCTATATACCGGGCACAACTCCAGACTCCGTGTTACTATTGAGATTTAAAAAACCCAGTAACTCTTTGCCCGACCCTTGAATCGATCCTAAGACCCCTTGCCCGGCAGTCGCACTTGCGACCACTCGGCCAACGAGACAGTGTGATTTTTTTTATTTTAATACAAATAATAATAGAATAATTTGCTTGGAAGTTCGTCTCAATGTTACATAAAGTACTCCTTTCAAGACAGAATTAATACTACGATGAATGTTGACTGTGGTAAAGTAACACTAAGCCGACCAATAGGATACAAAAGAATTATGTAGGTTGAAATTTTATAATATTTCTAACCGCCTTATGTTTTGATTGGACGTGTTCAATCATATCAACATACTACATTTTGTTTTCCAGTCGACCTTGGATCTATATGTAAGAAAAAAAAGTGTCGGAATAACCATAAAGCAAGACTAGAAATTGTTGCTATCCGTCCATTTTAACTCACACATTTTTTAAGTGTGGGAGAGCCATGCTTCGGCACGGATGGGTCGGCTCGACCGGAGTGATACCACGGCCTCACCGAAAATCGACGTGAAGCAACGCTTGCGTTGTGTTTCGTCATGTGAGTGAGGTTACCGGAGACCCAATTACCCTCCCCTTCCGCAATCTCCCCAATCCCAGAATCCCCAACGATCCTCAAACTCCTAATCCCCAAAAAGCCGGTAACGCACTTGTAACGCCTCTAGTGTTCCAGGTGTCCATGGGCGACGCCCATTGCTTACCATCAGGTGATTCGTCTGCTCGTTTACCGGCTTATGCCATAAAAAAAGAACACATCCCCGCCGCTTTTCTGAATGAAGCAGTTCAATTCCGCAACAAATAATCTGTTTTTATTTCTTTAGGTGGTGGAGATTCTGAACGACCTGTACACCTGCTGCGACGCCATCATATCATACTACAATGTTTATAAGGTAAGTAAAAACCAGTTAACTTTTGGACAATTGTAAGCTCTATTGGAATCAGCCAACGTAGCAAGGGCTGGGGCGTCATGCACACATAAATGTCCTACTGTCGGTGGCGCTGTGTGTTGGGCTGTGCCGTTCCCAAGAAAAAGGTTGGCCGGATCAATTGCAGACACACACGTCATACTCGTGAACATGCCTTCTGCTAAGTCAGGTTGGTTCTCTCATCGTGTTAGTGGGCTGATTTCGTAGATTCGTCGAAATAATAAATTATTTTATAATTTATTCTTGTAGTAATAATTATAGATGTGGTTAATTGTAGTGTGTTACCAACTAGGTACTTTATAAATATTGATTAGACGTATTGTGAAAAAAAAGTTTGACAAGGGTATGGACCAAGAGTCCGTGGAGAATTAATATGTAACATTAAAAAACCGGTAAGTAAATACAAATCTAAAACATTACGAAGAATAAAATCATTATACATAGCACTCTAACCAGACCTTTCTATTGGTTGAAAAAGATAACTTCTGAATAAATGTACCCATTCGAAATAAATCTTATACTATTACATAAAGCGGAAGAGTTTGTTTTTTTATTGTTTGTTTGAACGCGCTAATCTCCGTAACTACAAGTCTGATTTGAATAATTCTTTTTGTGTTGGATAGCGCATTTATCGAGGATGGCTATAGGCTATAAAACATCACGCTACGACCAATAGGAGCTGAGCAGAGCGTGTGAACCTGCGCCGAAGTAGCTAGTTTATAACATAATTCTCATCTTCCACGCAGGTAGAAACAATAGGCGATGCCTACATGGTAGTGGGTGGTCTGCCGGAGAGGTGCTCCCGACACGCTGCTGAAGTAGCCTCCTTAGCTCTGCATGTACTGGATGCCGTGCCCAAGATCAGGTCTCGACACATGCCCGCCGCCCGACTGCATATTAGAATAGGTGAGTTTCTTCCCATCAGTAAAGGAGACATGTATTTTTTTTTATTTGATGGGCCGACTTTTTACCGCTATCTCGCCTCGTCGGATGTGATCTATGTTTTTTCACGAATGACCTGCCTTGACTGGAGTGATACCACGGCGTTACAGAAAAGTGGCGTGAAACAAAGCTTTTTTTTAAGGGGGGAAAATCATCGAATGGAGTGTCAGACTCTTACTGACTAAAAACCACCCCGTTCCTTCTCCTGCACGTCGAGCCGGAGCCGGTAACCCGTTAGGTTCTCCGCGACTCCGAATCGGCATCGGCCCTGTTGAGCCCCATCTGTGGTGGTCTGATGGCTCTTTGAGGCGCGCGCGGAACGCGACGCGCCGTAGTGAAACAGCGCTTGCGTTCTGTTTCACCGAGTGATTGAGGTTATCGGAGGCTCGATCCTTCGGTCCACTGAATCACACTTTTAATCTAATTCTACTAGTATTGTGAGTATCCAGGGGTGGCTCTCGTATGCTTATTTGCATCCAACTTCACTTCGTATTTTCATTGAAACAAACATAACAGGATTTATGCAATAATATAATGCTTTATCTTCTTATAAAGTTCAGTGTCAACTTGTAATTACTTAGTGAACACCTAAATTATTAAAGTCAGAGTCTGTATCTAAATCAGTATTAGAAGTCCCTTTGACGCCATTTTGAGACACCCACGCGTATAATTTCTTGGAATTATTACTTTGTGTACGGCTTCTATGGTAGAGTGTTAGCAAGCAACACTGGTTAGAGAGAGAAAGAAAAAAAGTTAGTTATAATAAATATTGACTACCAGTTTTCCCATTTGTGTTATGTTATGAGTTTCGATAATAGGGAACGATAGCACGCTTACCATCCACCAATAAGTAATCCCGTATTCCATTATACTTACTGAGAATTTAGAAATTGTAAATTTTCAATCAATTTTGTTTACTCAAGAATCGTGCCGAGCACAAAACGCACCCTCTAAATCGAAAAAGCAGGTACGGGCGAAATAAATCCAGAAAAAAATAGATTAAAATAATTTGGTTTAAAATATGGACCTTAAAATCTCACCAATGACTTCTTTCTCAGGTATACACAGCGGCCAATGTGCAGCAGGAGTGGTAGGAGTGAAAATGCCAAGGTACTGTCTTTTCGGAGACACGGTGAACACTGCAGCAAGGATGGAATCCAGTGGAGAACCTCAAAGAATCCATGTCAGCCATGATACGTACCTCCTCCTCAAGCAACATGGAGGGTACCATTTTAAGGAGAGAGGAATTGTTAATATCAAGGTAAGGCGATGAGGGTAGGTTTTAGTAAACTGTTCTAGATTTGAGAATAAATCAACCTACTCAGGGGAAAGATCAAATATTAGCTGAAATAAAAAGGACATGAACCATTAAAAAGTAGATTGTCTATAGTTATTTCAATTTCATTAAACGTCTCTTTGAGAAACGAAGGGAGGAGGGCAGCCATGTTTTTACAAAGGTCCTTATAAAATCTTAACAGTTTTACTTGAAAATAGACCGTAAAAATACTTCCAGCGCTTTTGACAACAGCTTCCAGTCAATTAAACTTTCATTAAGATCGAAAATAGTCTTCAACGTTTTTGTAAATAAGGTCAAAAAGATAAGTGTGTAACTTAATGACTAAATTAATTTTGATAATTGTCACATTGTCATTGGTATAAGCAAAAACAGACCTTATTGTTTTACGCTTTGTAAAGGACCTTCAGCCTTACAGTAAGCCAAATTTATAGGCAATAAACCTAAAATAAATGGATGAGACAAAAAATATGAGGTCGCATTTTCTCTACGTCTCGTAACTTGTAAAGAAATACACATTTTTACATCATTCTTTTGCGGCATATATCCAATATTTTTATCGCAAAGATCGATTCCATTTTTTCAGTTATCAAAGGTAATATTATTTTAAAGTTTTTTTTTCTTCTAGGGTAAAGGAGAGATGAGGACGTGGTGGTTAGTGGGAGAAGACCATGAGAGAAGAAAAAATACTATGAGTAGATTCCGTAAGTATCTTTGGTCTACTGTTATATTGTTCACATTAGGTAAAATACCATATTTGGTTATCTACGTATACTAACATAATCTCCCACTCTAGAACCAGGTCTACTCCGCAATATGAACGAAGAGAGCGAAGACTTATGGGGGCTGAACCGGTCCATTCTGAACATCAGGGACAGGGCTCGTCTCTCCTGCGGTGGTCTGGCAGGACCTGGCTCTGCCCTGTCCTCACCAGGACCGCCAGCCTGTGACTGTTTCATCCCCAACAGAGATCACCACTCAGCTCCTGTAGTCCTATTCTGCGATGAATGACGTTAACTAAGCTCCCTCCAATGTTTCTGGTTAAAAAACGATTGTGAGATTGATGAGAAGACTTTGGTGGATGATGATGAAGGCTGCTATGTAGAGGATAGTTTTAGTGACTGGATGGTGGTATACCAATGTGGGGGGAATGCTATTGATGATGATGTTGCTGGTAGGGCTCGCAAGCTGGCCGCTCTAAGGAGACTGTACTGTGCGGATTATGAAGACGGCACGTGGTTGTAATTGAACTGCTAGGTGTAAGTGTGTTTGTAGTTTGTATAAGAATTGTCGTTGGTTAAGCCCTGTTTTGGGATTTTTTTATACTGGCCTCTGGGGAGGCTAACAAAATGGTTCGTTCGATTGAAGTCAGTTTAGTCATCGACCAAAGTATAAGGTGAAACTGACGAAACGATAGCTTTATATTTCAGAGCCGAGGCTTATTGAGGAATTCTGTTTAATTGAAATAAGATATTTACGTATCTGAAATCATCCCGAAACTATCAATGGTTTCCGTCGTTATAAAGTACCACCTTATATATTTCAAAATATTTTAGTTGGTCGTCTCATATCAACCACTTCAATTGGTTTGAAATTGAGGCTTTGTCGTTTTATTGAAGCCTAGTTGTTTTGTTTTATTTAACACGACAAAACTTTTTAAATTTGTTTTTCCGAATCGCCGCACCGAATTGTAGTTTAAGGTTTTTATTGAAATTGGCTAAGTCTAGTTTTACGCGGCCATTTAAGTAGAATTTCTATATGTACTGTTATTTATTTGGAAACGACCTAGAATTATTTACGCATTTTTTTATGGTGTGTTAACAGTAAGAATTAGGTAAAAAGAAATGATGATTCACAGAAAATATTAATATACTTACAAAGTTTACATAGTTATTGTGAATGTATACTTGGTGGCCGATTCGTATTTTAAGTCATGGTAATTACCACAATTGCCACTACAATGACTTACCTGAATATTATATAATATTATGTGTTAAGTCGATAAAAATAATAAAATTTACCTGAAAATATTTATTAAATAAGAATAAGATGATGATAAACCCCAAATTGGAAATAAATGTTAGAATTAAGGTTTTTATAATGTCAAATCTCCAATAACTGTATGCGTGCATACCTATATTTACTCATTTATGCTGTGTAACTTGTGAAAAGGTTAGACCTGCGGTACAGTTAACTGGGAGCAAAGAAACGTAGCCGTTTATTTATTTTATCTTGATAAATATTTTTATTTTCCTGTAAATTACGGAAATCCGAAAGTGCGAACTACACGCCGCCGTCTTGTAACATGGCTTAACACACACAAACTCAAACACGTAATTGATATTATTCCTAAGTCCATAAAACTCCAATAGGAAACATTGCTGTCGCTTATTCTGAAATACTGTCGAATATAAACCATTTATTAGAGGTATAGCCGTATTTTTAACTATTGGCCCGAATTTTTTTTTATATTGAACCTTTACGACTTCTGTGACATGCCCCCGAGAAATGACACGGCTTCAAAACTACACCTTGTCTGTTTTGTGATTGTCAGTATGCATATGTGAGCACCATGTTAGACTATAAGATTATTTTTGTTTTGTTTTTTTATTATAGTAAGTTTTGTAATTTTAATAACACGTTAGGCGTGTCTTTGCACTGTTCTCACATATACGTACGATATTGGAACATGTATCAGAGACATTGTAGAAAATAGGTACTTTTTTAAAAGAGTAACGAATGGAGCTCGTTCTTCTCCATTCGAATCTACATCATGAGCACCTAGCTTCACTGACGGACTGACTGACAGACTATTATTTATTTTGTATTTATTGACGTTTCATAAGTACCAAATTATGGTTTAATTGAAATAAATACTTTGACTTTGACTTTAAAATGAGAACATTATATTATAAAAGAATTTTTTCAAAGTTGTAGAGGTCAAAAAACGCTAGGGATTGTGTTTCTTGGATTCCAAGTATATTTAAAGATGTAGGTACATTTAGCTGTTAATGATGTTGATAAAACTAAACTGGAACAATGTATGTTCATCTCTGTTTACACCTTTGAGGAAGTCACGATTCTAATGTTACGAAAACTCGACATTTGATATGTCATATTTACTCATATTTCATTTCCATCCTTCGTTTCTTCCTTCACGATAAATCTCAAAGTACTCTCATATTAAATCTGTTGACAAATTGTCTACATTTGTCATTATTATTATAGCCTTATATGTCCAACGGGATAGGCAGGGGTGCATATTTCAGTAGCATTTTTCATTTATTTACGCGCGAGTGTCCATTTACAAAGTACTTGTTTTTAAATATATCTACATAATGTCTTCTGTGCCGATTCTGGTCTAGTCTACGTATAAGTCAAAGAATGGTTGTAATAATTAAAATTATCAATTTAATTTACAGTTGAACTTATATATTAAATTCAGCATAGAAATAGACTGTAACCTGTCTGTTTGTCGCGGAGAACCTAACGGGTTACCGGGGCTCCGGCTCGACGTGCAGGAGAAGGAACGGGGTGGTTTTTAGTCAGTCAGTCAAGAGTCAGACTCTTGACTGACTGACTAAAAACCACTCCCTCCCGCCTCACCCAGGCGGGAGCAGTCATTAGATGATTCCCCCCCTTAAAAAAAACCTGTCTGTTTCAAACTAAAATAAGTAGGTAGGTAAGTTATATATTTTTATGTCGAATACAATTTCCCGTAGGAACTAACTTCACACGCAAATTGTGGACAGCTATTACTAACATACAAATTAGTGGCTGTAGGTAAGTCAATACCTTCCTATGGGGAACTGGGAATATTGATCTGAACTAACATAGATATTATATACTTAGACATTAATGGACGGAATCATCGTCTAATTAATCGGATCGACGTCTCACTCCCTACGGCTTATAATTGTGTTATACCACTAGTTGTGCCCACGACTTCGTCCGCGTGGAATAGTGATTCACAGCTCCTCCCCAGTAGGTGATAATATGTAGCCTATATGTTGACCCCACCTGTTAGTAATGTTCATGCAAATTTTGAAGTAAATTCATGCAGTACTTTTTTAGTTTATACATCTGTATGTATATCCTGTGATATACATACAGACAAACAGTAAAAAATTCGATATGGATTGTAGATCACATCCCGAGTATTCTTTTTAAAAATATGCAAGGTACAGTTTTGACTTACTTACGATTTTATTATATGTATAGATAGATAGATAGACTGCCTCTTTGGTCGCGGGTTCGATTCCAGGGTCGGGCAAAGTATAACTGGGTTTTAAAAAAAAATCTCAGTAGTAGCACCTCCCTCTGCAATTGTGCCTGGTATATGACAATAGGCTCACCCCTAATTACATGGGACTCATAACGTAAATAGTGAAAAGTGGGTGTTACATTGTACAGTGGCATATTGTGCACCTCTGCCTACCCATTCCAGGATAAAAGGCGTGATGTTATATTATGTGTATAAATAGATGTACATACATACAAAGGATATTAAGCTAGCTAAAGGTATTAACTCTTGAAAAAAAAACTAATTTTAGAAGTTTTCAGAACACGATACCAACCACCGGAGTTCAATCAATGTAAAATTAAGACTATTGTTACGTCAAATATTTTACGAAGACGCAACTTGTCCATAGATATTATAGTAATATATTTTATGTAAATAATATTATATTGCCACAGAAAAATCGATTTATCAAAGAATCGAATTAATCGACTAATGTAAAACTATACTGTCAAATCAGTATAGGTAATTATTCAATAAGTTATTTATTGTGAAAATTAATTATATACATGAAATCATTTTGAATCTTATGTACATACATAGGTACATAAGATTCAAAATAAAAAAGATTTTAAATAATGTATACTTTAGTAACTTAAGTAATTAGCCATATTCGGCTGTAGTCGATTAATTTATTGAAAAAGTCTGTGTAATCGAATAAATGTTTAGTCAACTAAATGTGATAGATGAATTAGTGAAATGTAACGATTTATATACGAAATTGAGAATGACTGAAGGGATTAGAAGGTAAAGTGACTCGAAGCAGTTAAAGGTATCCGTAACTGACTTTTCTTTAGTCGATTTTGAACTCTTTAATCATTGTATAAAAGTCAAATATTCGTGTGATATTGTCAGTTTTGGCTACTTAGAGGTGCTGTTGTCTGTATATTTTTGTCTGAAAAATTAAGTACTTATATTTATTGTTTTTTTTTCATGACCCATATTGGAACAATTTTTGTAATGAACGTAGTTAAATGTAATTAAGACTTTACCGTGTACCTAAGTCATAGTTTTAAGCCTCGGTGTGTCAATGATTGTTCACTAATTAAGATTTCTATAGATTATATTGATTGAAGAGTTGACAGTAGTTTTTTGCAAATAAGAAGTTAAAAAAATAATGCATCACAAAATCTGCTGATGACTAAATTACTTTTTTATAGGACTACTAGGTACATACGTACTTATACATATGTATGCTGCAAGTACCCACACCTGGAATACCAGAGGTGTCACAAGTACGTAGTCAACCATTAGACATAGGAACCTGCAGGGACGTTGACAGAACTATGCCGTTCGGGGCCCGTGGCAAATTCATCGGATGGGCCCCCGTTCCCAATACAAAAACAGAGAAGTTCAGATGAAATCCACTGAACAGGGGCGTCCGTAGTATTTTGCTGACTTGTCAACCTGTAATTATACCACAGGGAACCTGTAAAATTGTGCCATCGTTTTCCAAGTACCGTAGAGTTACCAAACTTCAACTGAGTATTGTTATGAGTGGGTATGATTGATATTGCTTATATTGTTTTGTTTATACTCTATTAGGTAATCAGTTCTTAAGCATAATTTTGACAAATACGTACCTACGAGTCTTGTCAAAGTTTTAAATTGTATAAAAGGTGTTATTCATATCGAAATTCATTTAATTTTATAATCTGCCGTACCTACCTATGTGATTTCCGAGTACTTACCTATGTAGGTACTTATTTAA